TGACTGGTGTGCCACTGACAAACTATGAGTTACATGGTTCAAAGGCCACATTTATGTATAGGTGTAAAAATACGACAATCTTTAAATATTTATAACAATAACCAAAAAAATGTTGGGGAAAGCCTGTAGATACATCTGAAGCAATTCCCATTAGCCTTTAATTAAATAACAATTACTGGTATAGAATATTTAAATAATAATTGATGAATTCCAAATTATGTAATTTGAATTTCTTATCATTTTAATTATTAATGGAATTGTTAATTATTTTAAATAATTTTGTATTCAAAAACCTTTTTACAAACATTACAGAATGGTGCAAGAAAATTGGCATATGCCCGCAACTTCGTTAGGGAATGTAGGGAATATTTAAACATGTATAAACTTATTATTTTATTTTCACATAAAACTCCACACATTAATATCAACCATAAATTAAATTTGAGTACCATTTAGTACCAAATTTCATGATTCGAGCTCTAAAGGTGCACCCAAACTCAAATTTTCCATTTAGCACACATTATTTCCATAAGTACCCACTTCAAACATCCAACAAAACTTCATGCATACCCCCCACAATGATTCCAAATTCAAATTTCAGGATTCCAACTCTATTGGTTCACCCACAATTCAAATTGAACCAAATTTAGTACACAGTAGTACCAATTTCCAAAACTTCCTACATATCCCAAACCTACACCCTCACACTGATCCTAAATCCATGTATCAGGATTATAACTCTATATGTTCACCCACAACTCAAATCGTACTAAATTTAGTTCATAGTAGTACCAATTTCCAAATCTTCATACGTACCCCAATTCTACACCTCCACTGTGTTCCTAAATCAAAATTTCAGGATTCCAACTCTTTTGGTTCACCCTCAAATCAAATCGTACTAAATTTAGTACATAGTAGTACCAAATTTCGGGATTCCAACTCTATCGCTTTACCCACAATTCAAATTGCACCAAATTTAGTACACATTAGTACTAATTTCCAAGAATTCATACATATCTCAATCTTACACCTTAAGAGTAATCCTGACCCAAAATTTCCTGATTCTAGCTCTATTGGTTCACCTAAAATTCAAATTGTACCAAATTTAGTACATTTTTCTTATTATTATTATTATTTTCTTAAAGGAATCCTGACCCCAGTCCCACACCCCTACAGTAATCCTAACTTCAAATTTCATTGTTCCCGCTCTATCGGTTCACCCAAATCCAAAGTGTATCGATTATAGTACTTTTCGTACCCACAAGTAACAAATTTCTAAATCCTGAATTCTAAATTTCTGAATCCTGACCCCAATCCCTCACCCCTACAGTGATCCTAACTTCAAATTTCATTGTTCCCGCTCTATCGGTTCACCCAAATCCAAAGTGTATCGATTATAGTACTTTTCGTACCCACAAGTAACAAATTTCTAAAACTACGTTCATATCCCAATCCTACACTCCGACGGTACTTTTCATTTCAAATTCCAGAATTCCAGCTCGATTTGTATCTCCAAATTAAATTTGTACCAAATATAGTACTTTTCGTACACATGAATACACGCATTCAAAACCATCTCCTTAAATAGACTCTACATCTCAACCCTAATTCGCATTCCACATTTCAAGTTTTTAGCTCTATTCATTCACATGCTACGAATTTGTACCAAATTATGTACATTTTAGTACTTTTCGGATAGTTGTAGTTCGAATTTCCAAAAACCCTTTGCTACACCTATCCTACACTCCATCAGCGACCACCAACCCAAATTTCAGAGTTCTAGCTCTACCGGTTCGCCAAATACAAATGGTATCATATTTAGTACTTTTTAGAACTTTTCGTACCGTTCTAGTACGAATTTCCAAAAACCCAGCCTTATCTGTCATATTTGGACCAAGAGTGTCCCTCACCCAAAATTTCAAGTTTCTAGCTTCAGCCGTTTCGTCTGGGCGTTGATCAATCGTTAAATCAGTCAGTCAATGACTTTACTCTTTTATTAATATATATATATATAAGTTAACACACCTCAATACCTCCAAACCACTGTGCTGCGACGTCTCATACGTACACGTGCCGCTAAGTCAGCACTTTCGATTCACTTGCGAAACGGAAATATGATATGTTCCCACAGTCGTCGAACTCGTGCACTAGGCCTACCGTCAGCATAATGCACCTGTGGGAAATATTAAAATAAGCATAATTTGGACGTGACGCATAGGACAGTACTAATGAACAAGGATGAAACCTATGGTGTCAAAGACAAGTGTCTTCGTTTAACCAACGCTATGATCTGTAAAATGGAAATGCTTGATCAGCTGCCAGAGGAAGATTGCATTACAAGACTTTTGAAGGGTGGCAAAACAGCTTGCCGCTATGTAACCAGTTCTGAATCAAAAGTCGAATTACTTAAAGATGACACAATATTCTTGGATAACTTTAACAGTAGCATTTGGTCCAACGGAACTTCCCATCATCTCGATGGTTCCTTTCTTCTACAAATGGAAAATGAATCTTTAAGAATCAACAACAAAATCTATTGGAGTTTGACCAGTTCTGGAGTACAAGTTCTCCCACCAGTACTAACCACTATCACAAATAAGAGCCTATCCGTTAACCTGAATCTCGTACATGACTTATATATATATATATATATATATGTGTGTGTGTTTTCTACACCATTTACATTAAATTGAATATGAGAGCGATTCCAAAAATTCTTCTAGCCTCAAATCTATAAACCGTGCAAAATTTCGAGTGAATCCGACAGATATGGGTTCTTTGGAATACCGGTTACATGAAATCGATCAATCTTATATACCGGAGCTATGTTGAAATCAAAATCAACTAAAAAGCCCTTTACCGTGCAAATCGAAGGATATATAGGGACTTCGATGCACCATGTACATAAAATCGGACGAAGATATATATGGGAGCTATATCTAAATCTGAACCTATTTTCATGAAACTTAGCACACATTATTATAGACGCAATTCAGCCAATGTCACGCCATGCCAAATTTCGTGCAAATCGAAAGATATATAAGGTCTCTGGTGCACCAATTACTTTAAATCTGACGAAAATATATATGGGATCTATATCTAAATACATATAATAGCTATATCTAAATCTGAACCGATTTTCACGAAATTTAACACAAATATTTCTAGGCTTAATTCAGAATGCTATTCCAAATTTCGTGCAAATCGAAGGATATATAGACTTTGGTGCACCATGTACATAAAATCGGTCGAAAATATATATGGGAGCTATATCTAAATCTGAACCGATTTTTCCCAATTTCAATAGGGTTCGTCCTTGGGCCAAATAAGTGATTTGTGCCAAATTTCATCCAAATCGGATCACAAATGCGACCTGTACTTTGTTAACAAAAATACACAGACGGACGGACATGCATAAATCGACTTAAAAAGTGATTCTATGCATATACTCAAAAGGAACCATGGGTCTATCTCGATTCCTTTTGCGTGTTACAAACATATGCACAAAGACATAATACCCTGTACCACAGTGTGGTGAAGGGTATAAATACCATATGTGCAAAATTTCAAAACTCAATCAATAGACCTAATTCAGTACATGGGAGCTATATCTAAATCTGGACCGATTTTCAAGATATATATATATATATATATATATATGGACATTGGTGCACCATTTACATTAAATCGGTCGAGAATATACCTGTGGGAGCTATATCTAAATCTGGACCGATTTCCAGGAAACTTAACCAACACCATCACCATTTACATTAAATCGGTCGAGAATATACCTGTGGGAGCTATATCTAAATCTGGACCGATTTCCAGGAAACTTAACCAACATCATTCTAGGCCTAATTCATTACGCTGTGTCAAATTTCGTGCAAATGCAAAGATATATAGGGACTTTGGTACACCATATACATTAAATCGGACGAAGATATATATGAGAGCTTTATCTAAATCTGAACCGATTTTCAGGAAACTTAACACACATTATTCTAGACCTAATTCATTACGCTATGCCAAATTCTTAAATAGCATTCCAGCCACCACAGTGAAAATCCAAACCCAAATGTGAACACCTAATAAAGCCTATTTTGTTGAATTCTAAATGTAGTTAATGTTTAACAAAATTGTTTATTTAAATTCAAACATATTTCCCATATATTACCCACCTTAATATATAAAAAAATATTACACTAACTTTCAACACATGTTCCCATGTATGTATGTAAGCAATTAAGTTAAGTGTTTTCAAGTGACGTTTTATTGTTACAATTTTTTTTTTATAAAACTTGTTTGAGAATGCTCGTTTCATGTTCCAAGGGATGCGCTTCTTCCTTATACTAAACAACTACAACAACTGTGATAACAACAGCAACAATAATTGCAACAAAAACAACAATGATGACATTTCTCAATTTTATACGTGTGTGTGTGTGCATCTGTGTGTGTCGTTATACATTTCGTTTTTGCTATGTTATGTTGTTACTAAACTTACACACAAACAAATTTGCTCTGAACAACAGACAGCTGAAGAGCAACATAAACATGCATACACTCTCACCTATGCATACAAACATAAACACACACACATACAAGTGATACCTCCTGTTGCGAGTGACTAACGTCTCTAAACATACCGTACGGTATGTTTTTTTGTTTGTTTGTGTGTTTGTGTTTATTTGCAGATGACGACGGAAGACGAGAGACGCGACGTGTTACCATTCATACCGTACGTACTCGTGCCTGTAAGTGATTGATATAGACAACATAAATGCATACATACAGAATGAGTTACAGACTATCTATAGGTCGATTTGATGTATTTCCACGAATGGGGAGAATAAAAGCGAAATAATTCATATTTTTCAAAACCCCTAGAAGTTCATAAATCATAGGGCAGAGTGCAGGAACAATCATCCATTAAAAACTGCAGCTCCCATTAATTTAACGAAACGGGAACGGAACAAAATGCCAAATGTGCGAAAGATAGATGAATGAGCGACACGATAACCTAAAGGCGATGATGATAAATAGCAAACATATTTATTCATCATCTGCAATGTGTTTACGTGTACTTCTGGAAATAATAATGCGAATAAGCTGCTAACTATTCGATAGCTTATTGTGATTTATAACTGTCGATGAAATGAAACTTTTATTTGTTTTCAATTTTGATTTATCTTCATTTCTGTTTCTTTATTTTCTGCAATATACCATAAGTGTCCCCCCTGCCCCTTAAGTATATTATCTTACTAATTCATTGCTTTTAATCTTCTTCTATTTTTTTCTTCTTTTTTGTTGTTGTTTTTCTCTTTCTCTCTCTTTCCCTCTCATTGCAGCGGAAGAGGATGTCGGAGATAAATCTTCAACATGCGGCACATTATTAATATTCCTGTCGGTGGCACTGGTGATTCTAACACTACCTTTTAGTTTATTTGTCTGCTTTAAAGTAAGTATTGTTTATGGAAATTGTAATGTTGTGAGTAATGGAAGCAACAGTTGGCAAATTCAGTTTGGAAAGGAAAACAAAAGAATATTTCCCAAGAACAAAATCATTAAACAATAATTTTAAGAGTAGATCAAAAGTGGGAGTGAAAAAAGCAACAACTTTTTTAAAAAATCTTGAAAATCGTACGTATGTGGTCTAGAGGTATTCTCCAACAGAAGTTTTGTGGGTTCTGTGGTTTGTAAAATATTTTTATTTTTTTTACTTGGTCCCGTTGCTAAAAATTCTTTAAATTTTGTTGATACCAATTGACGTCTACATATTCAGTATATATTATATATATACTATAGCATATGCCCGCAACTTCGTTAGCGAATATAGAAAATATTTAAACGTGTATTAACATCGACCATAAATTAAATATGAGTACCACTTAGTACCAAATTCGAGCTCAAAAGGTTCACCCAAATCCAAATTTTCGGTTTAGCACACATTATTTCCATAAGTACCCTGTTCAATCATCCAACAAAACTTCATGCATACCCCGATCCTACACCCTCACAATGATTCCAGATTCAAATTTCAGGATTCCAACTCTATTGGTTCACCCACAATTTAAATTGTACCACATTTAGTACACAGTAGTACGAATATCCAAAACTTCCAAAATTCCCCAATCCTACACCCCGACAGTGATTCATGATTTCATGATTTCAAATCCATAGGTTCGCCCACAATTCAAATTATACCAAATTGTGTGCACAGTAGTACCAATTCCAAAACTTCCTATATACCCCATCCTACACCCCCACAGTGATCCTAAATCCAAGTTTCAGGATTCTAACTCTATCAGTTTACTCACAAATTAAATTGTACCAAATTTAGTACACAGTAGTACTGATTTCTAAAACCTCCTTCCTACACCAAACCCGCACTCCCACAGTCATCCTAAATTCAAGTTTCAGGATTCCAACTCTATTGGTGCACCCGCAATTAAAATAGTACCAAATTTAGTACATAGTTGTCCCAATTTCCAAAACTTCCTACATACCTCAATCCTACACCCCCACAGTGATCCAAAATCCAAGTTTCAGGATTCCAGCTTTATCGATTGACCCACAATTCAAATTGTACCAAATTTAGTACAAAGTAGTACGAATTTCCAAAACTTCTTACTTAACCCAAACCAACACCCCCACAGTGATCCCAAATCTAAGTTTCAGGATTCAAACTATATCAATTCACCCACAATTCAAATTGTACCAAATTTAGTACAAAGTAGTACGAATTTCCAGAACCTCCTTTTGGGGTAAAACCAACACCCCCAAAGTGATCCGAAATCCAAGTTTAAGGATTCCAAAACACTATCGGTTCACCCACAATTTAAATTATACAAAATTTAGTACACAATAGTACCAATTTCCAAAACTTCCTACATACCCCAATCCTACAACTCCACAGTGACCCTAAAACAAAAGTTAATGATTTCAACTCTATCGCTTCAATCACAATTTAAATTGTACCAATTTTTATACACATTAGTACAAAATTTCTAAAATTTCCAACATATTTCAATCTCACACTTTAAAAGTGATCCTGACTCCAAATTGCATGATTCTAGCTCCATTGTTTCACTTCAAATAAAAATGTACAAAATTTAGTACCATTTAGTTCCCATAAGTATTAATTTGTTAAACTGAATCCTGACCCTAATCCTATATCCCTACAATGATCCTAACTCCAAACTTCATTGTTCCAGCTATATCGGTTCACCCAAATCCAAATTGTACCAATTATAGTACGATTTAGTAATTTTCGTACACATAAGTAAAATATTCCAAAACTGCATACATATCCCAATCCTACACTCTGACGGTAATGTTAATTTCAATTGGAATGCAAATGAAGGTTGAGGATTTCTGCTCAATTTGTACCTCCAAATCAAATGTGTACCATAGTACCATATAGTACTTTTCGTACACATGAGTACACGCTTTCCAAACTCTCCTCATATCGACCCTAATTCTCAACCTTAATTTGCATTCCAAATTTCAAGTGATTAGCTCAATCCATTCACATGCTACGAAATTGTACCAAATTTAGTACTTTTCAGTACTTATAGTTCGAATTTCCAAAAAGTCCTTTGGTACATCTAGTCTACACTCCATTAGTGACCCTCAATCCAAATTTCAGAGTTCTAGCTCTACTGGTTCGCCAAATACAAATAATATTGCCAAGAACACCATATACCCAAAATGCAAGAATTCCGACAAATCCTAATATTATCAATTGTCGTCAAAGGTGCTGTCCCAGGTTGTTTTTGCATTCTGGATTATTGGTGGCTAGAAAACTTCTTCGTTGAAAATATGTAATAAAGGTCCACGATTTGGCATATGAGGTTCTGAATAATGTCCCGCTTATTGTCTCGAACTATTTGATTTTTCGAATTCCACTGAAGACTTTAGAAAACAAATTGTTGTGCGTCACATGATATGTTTTGCCGAAGATACAGATTTTGAAGTGCTTCTTAGAGGCTCACCGTCGATCAGTGTTTTGTTTCGGTCACACAGAGTCATGCTGACCCACGAAGAAAGAAAAATTATTACTCAAAAATGTCCATAATTTTTCAAATAACTGTAATCAACACATTGTCGCACTTCAAACCGTATTGGATAGGTTTATTCTGTTTCTTCAAAAAATAATTTTAAAAAATCCGTAGAAAATTCCTTTAAAAACGAGTTTACAATGTCCTTGAATACAAATAAAAATCAAGGCATTGGCTAGGCCCATGACAAAATTCACAGAACCATGATTTTTATACCCTTCACCACACTGTGGTACATGGTATTATGTCTTTGTTCATATGTTTGTAACAGGCAAAAGGAAACAAGATAGACCCATAGTTCCTTTTGAGAATATGCATAGAATCACTTCCTGAGTCGATTTATGCATGTCCGTCCGTCCGTACGTCGATTTACACGAAATTTGGCACAGCTCACTTAATTGAGTCTAGAAAGATGTGTGCCAAGTTTTGTGAAAATCGGTTCAGATTTAAATATAGCTCCCATATATAGTTACGACCGATTTTATGTAAATGGTGCACCAAAGTCCCTATATATCTTTCGATTTGCACAAAATTTGACACAGCTTACTTAATTGAGTCTAGAATGATGTGTGTTAAGTGTCGTGAAAATCGGTTTAGATTTAGATATAGCTCCCATTTATATTTTTGTCTGATTTTATGTAAATGGTGCACCAAAGTCCCTATATATCTTTCGATTTTCACGAAATTTGGCATAACGTACTTAATTGAGTCTAGAAAGATGTGTGCCAAGTTTCGTGAAAATCGGTCCATATTAATTTATAGCTTCCATATATAGTTTCGTCCGATGTTAAGTAAATGGCGCACCAAAGTCCCTATATATCTTTCGATTTGCACGAAATTTGGCATAACGTACTTAATTGAGCCTAGAATGATGTCTGTCAAGTTTCGTGAAAATCGGACGAGATTTACATTTAGCTCCATTATATAGTTTCGTCCGATTTTATGTAAATGGCGCACCAAAGTCCCAATATATATTTGGTACAAGCTCACTTAAATGAGTCTAGAAAGTTGTTATGTAAATGGTGCAAAAAAAACCCAATATATGGCGGATAGGAACAAAAAGTACTGAAATTAATATAAATCGGTTCATATGTAGATATAGCTTCCATATACATTTTCGTCCGATTTTAAGTGAATGGTGCATTAAACTCCACTAGTCAGATTGACATGAAATTTTGCATAATTTGAGCATAGAACAACGTTGTTGTGTTTTGTTGAATTACAGACAATGTCCAACGGATGTCCGATTGATATTTGTTTGAAATCGATTTACATACTTGTGTCCCATTGTAACAAACGAATGACATGTATATGGATTGAAACTTGACATTTAGATAGGGATCACATATTTTAGTTCATCCAATGTCAAAATAATGTTAAAAACTTTGATAGGGATCACATATTTTAGCCACTTGTGCATCCTCAATGATCAGTCTATGCAATAATATTTAACATTGAATCAATGAACGCCCAATGAGAAAACTTAGTGTGCTGTTTCAAAGTGCCACTATTTTCGACCAAAAAATTTACCTCATCGAACTATCGGTTTTACACAAGATATTTTAATATACATATTTCAATATATTCTGGAATTTTGAAGCTCTTTTGTCAAATATTTCTTTCTTCTAAGCCCTTTATAATAACTGTTTATCTGTCGGCTGGCAAATATGGGACCTCGTTTTTATATGAAATCGCTGAAAAATCCGATATGATTTAAACTTTATACATTATAAATATTTTATCAGACTGAGATATGAGATCTCGTCGTAAGATGTTTTCAAATACCACACACTTGGCACACATTATTCTGGGCCCAATTCAGTAGTCTGTGCCAAATTTTGTGCAAATCGAAAGATATATAGGAACTTTGGAGACCCATTTACCATAAATCGGATGAAAATATATATGGGACCTATTTCTAAATCTGGGCCTATTTTCACGAAACTTGGCACACATCATTCTGCACTTAATTCAGTACTCTATGCCAAATTTCATGCAAATCGAACGATATGTAGGGACTTTATCAGACTGAGATCTCGTCCTAAGATGTTTCCAAATACCAACAAAATGTATACAAACAAAACTATGGTTATTCCTTGAATTTTTTAATATTCGTATCAGTTGTCGAATCTACCTACGTTGTCAATGATTTCCATGGATATGATAATTTATTTTATTACCCCTTTGCCATAATTTAAAACAGAAAATAATCCTTCTTTCTCCGCTTATACAGGTGGTACAAGAATACGAAAGAGCTGTTATCTTTAGACTGGGACGTTTAATGCAAGGTGGAGCCAAGGGACCGGGTAAGTACAATAGTTTCTAATTGCAAATAGCTTCATCTATAACTGCTTACATCTACTCTCGCAAAGCAAAGCAAAATAAAACACACAAAAATCATTTGTAATTAACATTAAATATTGAACAATTTCTTTATCAATCGATTTCTTTTTGACAAAACAACAAAACTTCTTCACATCAACACTATGTGAATAATAACAAAAACAACAAACACACAAACACGTTCACAAACAAAAACCTAATCATCTAACAAATAAACAATGATACACACACATCGAAACACTCAACACTCAACGCTGATGATGATGACGACGACGACATTAACAATACCAACAACAACAACACCAACGAACATACCAACCAACTAACCAACCAACAACAACAACACTTTAGGTATATTCTTCATTCTGCCGTGCATCGATTCATACGCTCGTGTGGACTTACGTACACGTACTTATGATGTACCACCACAAGAGGTAAAATTTGTCTGTGTTCTGTGTACATAACTGTGTGTGTGTGCGTTTCTGTGTGAGCTTGATGTTCGTTAATTATTTTGTTTAGTTTATTTCTTACTTCTTCTTTTTTGTTCTTCGTTTATTTTCACTTTTTGTTGTGAGTTTTCGCAACTCAAACTAGAAAACAACAAAAAAGAAAAAAAATTATTAACAACAACACATGCACACACATCCATGCGTGCATATTCGATGACAATATATGCATGTATGCTTGTGTACGTGTTTTGTGTAAAAACAAAATATTCTCTTACAAAAACAAAAAAAACATATATTTTCTGGTCCTCTCCTCTATTTCTGTCTTTAATCTAACACACTACTTCTTCTCCTTCTTCGCATGTGAATGCGTTTGAAGTTTTCTATTCAAATTTTTTTTCTTCATACTATTCTTTCAATGTTTTTGATCTTAAATCTCAATCCATTTTTTTTTTTTTTTTTGGTTTGTAAATATTGAAATGTTTACACACGTGAATTTATTTTATTCCATTTATTTTCGTTCAATGTCTTCTTTCAAGTTTTCCTTTTCTTGTGTTTCACTTTTTTCGGTCTTTTTAATTCCTAGTTATTTCAAATTACGTTTTTCTTGCATTTTTCATCATTCATAGTCTGTTTTTTTTGTGTTCTTCAACACCGGAATGATGAAGAAAACTCGAAACATTGAAACACATTCACCCGTACAAAACAAACTTTACCAACAAACAAAAAATATATGAAAGAAAGAAGAAAAAACACAAACCCAAATACACACACACACTCAACTGATACGGTTGTTTTTTCTTATATATTCTTGATGTTTTAAACACTCCGATATACACACACATACCTATACAGATATTATCTAAGTACACATGCTACTCATGGTACTCACTCTTTGTATCTTTATGTAGATATATGTATGTATATCAATGTATGCTGTTCATGTGTAACTGCCTTATTTAACTCACTTATATTTATATTTGCACCTGAGAGTAGAGTAGTTCATGTACACCAGTCAGTCAGCCAGCCAGCCGACACACGCCCATACACACAAATCCATCCAACCATCTATATGTATTATTGCTGTAGGTCTGTCCATGTATGTTCATTCATTTATTTGTGCATGTCATTGTGTTTCCGTGTCTCGATTTTTGTATTGAGTTCACCGTTGTTTGTTTACATTTTTCAAGATTTCTCGTTTTATTTTTTTGTCTCTTTTTCCTGTTGACATCGAAACTGTTATACGTTTTTTTCCATCCATGCAGCACATACACAATCACCAATATCGACACCGACAGCCATAACAAAGTTTTGTAGTTGACACAAAATAGGTTTATCACCAACTAAACTGATAATCAATGTTGTATGTCATTTCTGATTGACAGGCAGAGATAATAGGATTTATAGATTCTTTAGTTGCTAGTTAGCAGATTGTAATTAATGATCAGCTAAATTGCTGAAATTAATTTGGCAAAACACATTAATGCCAGAGTCCATTAATCTGAAGTAAACAGGAAAAACCAAAAACAAAACATAAACTATTAATTTTATGTGGTTGAAAAACTGGCCTATAGACGAGGGTATTTCAAGAAAAAAACCAGTAAGGAAAGTAGTAAAGTCGGACGGGACCGACTACATGATACCCTTTACCACTTTGGGTATATTCAACAGACGAATCCTAACAGACGTGGCATTTTTTAAGGACCCGTAAAATGAAATTGTATCCATAAACATGTCATTCTGCAACCGATACTAAAATTTTCATTTAGTCAGATATAGAAGCTACATCTAAATCTGAACCGATTTTCATGAAACCTTACACACATATTTCTAAACCTAATACATTATGCTGTGCCAAATTTCGTGCAAATCGAAAGATATACATGGTTGCCCATATTCGACGGACCTATGTTTTTTTTTTAATCAAAGAAAAAAATAAAAATTTGGTTGGCAATGTTAATCATTTACTTTGTTCCAAGTAGATTTGTTTACATCAATTTTTGAATATGATATCTCTCAAATGGCCCCCTCTGGCGTTCATTGATCTGTTTTGCCAACATTTCGGCCGGAATAGCGGCTATTTCTTCACGAATGTTGTCCTTGAGCTCTTCTACGGTCCTTGGCTTGTTAACGTAAACCGTTGACTTCAAATATCCCTACAAGAAGAAGTCAGGCGGCGTCAAATCGGGCGAACGCGGTGGCCAGTCCAAACCACCAATTTTCGACATCAAACGGCCCGGAAACAAATTCATCAGAAAATAGATTGTTATGCGACTTGTGTGTGGTGGAGCGCCGTCTTGTTGAAACCAGAACTGCCTCATACGCTTTCGACGAATAATTGGTATCACAAAATTGGTCATCATGTCGCGATAACGCTCCTGATTGATGGTAACAGCATGGTCATTTTCATTTTGGAAGAAAAACGGCCCAATGCCGCACCAAACTGTGACTTTTTCGTCATGAAGAGGCATTTCTTGAATCTACTGAAGATTCTCAGTGGCGTAAAAAACGGCAATTTTGCTTATTTACGGTCCCATTCAATGTGAAATGGGCTTCATCGGACATGATAATTTTGTTCCAAAATTGCTCGTCATCTTCGGCCATTTCGATAACTCTTTGGGTCCATTCCAATCGACGAGGCTTGTCCGCAGGCAACATTATTTGCGTCAATTGCATTTTGTACGGGAACAAATGCAAATCAATGCGAATAATCGGTTGTAAAGTGGACCGAGCCATGCCCAACTGCTGAGAACGGCGTTTTTGGGATGTTCTTGGGGACCTCTCAACACTGGCTCCTTCGGATTAGAAAGAGCCTTACCAGTCGAAAATTTTTCGTATTAACGCTTAATGGTGTTCTTAGAAGTCGCACTTCTCACATTTTTTAATGTTTTAAAAGCACGTTGAGTTTTCACAATTGACTTCTTCTGTTGAATGTAAATTTCAACAATTTCAGAGCGCTCGCGTGGCGTGTATTGGTTCATGGTAAAAATTTGCTTGGACTGACGCTTCAAACACGGTATGTCATTAAGCGATATGACATCTCTGTCAAAAGTTATGGCGTTGCCAGATGGGTCCGTCGAATATGGGCAACCCTGTATAGGGACTTTTGTGGACCATTTACATAAAATCGGACGAAAATATATATGGGAGCTATATATAAATCTGAACCGATTTTCAGGAAACTTAACACACATCATTCTAGACCTAATTCATTACGCTGTGCCAAATTTCGTACAAATCGAAAGATATATACGGACTTTGGTGGACCATTTACCTTAAATCGGACGAACAAATATATGGGAGCTTTATCTAAATCTGAACCGATTTTCACGAAACTTAACACACATCATTCTAGACCTAATTCATTACGCTGTGCCAAATTTCGCGCAAATCGCAATATATATAGAGACTTTGATACACCATTTACCTTAAATCGGACGAAACTATATATGGGAGCTATATCTAAATCTGAACCGATTTTCACGAAACTTAACACACATCATTCTAGACCTAAGTCATTACGCTGTGCCAAATTTCGTGCAAATCGAAAGATAAATAGGGACTTTGGTACACTATTTACCTTAAGGGGACCCCCCCCATTCTCGGGGTCAAAATTTTTGTTGATATAATTCGAATCTACACTGATTAAAGAATGTCTCTACAAAATTTCAAGTGAAAATATCAAGAACTGTTGAAGATATATACGATTTAGTGTGTCAGCATCAAGTGACGGCTAAAGGGTTTC